GTGTGTGTGTGTGTGTGTGTGTGTGTGTGTGTGTGTGTGTGTGTGTGTGTGTATGGAGAGAGAGAGAGAGAGAGACTCACTCTGTCGCCCAGCCTGGAGTGCAGTGGCATGATCTTGGCTCACTGCAACCTCCACCTCCCAGATCCAAGTGATTCTTCTGCCTCAGCCTCCCAAGTAGCTAGGATTTCAGGTATGCACCACTTCGTGTGGCTAAATTTTTGTATTTTTAGTAGAGATGGGGATTCACCATATTGGCCAGGCTGGTCTCGAACTCCTGACCTTGTGATACCACAGCCTCAGCCTCCCAAAGTGCTGGGACTACAGGTGTGAGCCACACGCCTGGCCACTGCATATATATTTTTGTGATTTATTTATAATATGCTTAACTGCTTTTGGACAATGAACAGAAAAAAAAGGAACAAACAAATTACTGGCCTACTTTCCACCTACGGATTTTTACATTACTGTTTAAAAATACCACCTTCCACTTCCCCCAAATCTGTTGGATAAGTGCAAAGCTCATCAGTATAGTGAATATTGTGTCTTTTAGTTTGATTCTTTTTCCTACAGTCCCTTCTCTGTATTCCATATCTTTACCAGCCATCATCATCACACAGCTTCTACTCTAGTCAGAACAAACCATGTCCATTCCCCAAGCCCTTGGCATTAACTTCTGCATTGCTATTGCTCATGATGAATTTTTTCACTAGTAATCCTTTCCTCTCGGTTTTTTCTCATCCTATTCATTCTTCAATGTATTGATCAATTGCCCCCCATTGAAATGATCACAAATTGAAATGACATTTTTTCCTCTGCTTTCCCATGAAACAGCTATAAAAAAATACGTAGCACACTAGTTCAGTTAGTTAATGATATCAGTTGTTTTATTATCCTTATCATTTCCTTCTTCTGAATGTGAGCCTTTTAGGACAAAGTCTTGGTCTTAAACTGATTCACTTATAAGTACTCTACCTCAGTTGAATGGTGCAAAAAATGTATACATATTGGGCCCCCAAAATCACTAAGCTAAAGGGAAAATTCAAGCTGGGAACTGCTCAGGGCAAATCTGCCTCCATGACTAATCAAAGTAATCCCTCTACTCACTGAGAAAGATGCATGTTCTGATTGCCTCCTTTGAGAAAGGCTTATCAGAAACTCAAAAGAATACAGCCATTTTTCTCTCACCTACCTGTGACCTGGAAGACTCCTCCCCTGCTTCAAATTGTCCCCACCTCTCTGGACGGAACCAGTGTACTTCTTACATATGTTGATTGATGTCTCATATCCCCCTAAAATGTATAAAACCAAACTGTGGCCAAACCACCTTGGGCATATATTGCCAGGACTCTGAGGCTGTGTCATGGGTGTGCATCTTCAACCTTGGCAAAATAAACTCAGACTTGCCTCAAATTTTAGGGGTTCACAATGGAACCCCCAAAATAGAAGTAGCATCCTTCTATGCCACTTGCCAAGAAAACCTGGAGTCCTCTTAAATATCCCTCTTTCACTCACACCTAACATCCAAACCACTGGAAACTCTGTTGGCTTTCTTCATAATAATACATTTAGCACTTTATCAGCCTCACCATGTTCATGATACTACTCTATTTTGAGTGAACATTATTCTTCCTGTCAATTCTTGAAACAGCCTCCTAATCAGTTTCCTTATTCTGTATGTGCAACCATACAATTTATTCACAAAACAGCAATAGGGTTATACCTTGAAATGCATATTTGATCACACCGCTTTTCTCAAAACCCTGCGATGTTATTACCTTAACAATTGCAAACAAGATTCTACATGATTGATACCACACCAAAATCAAAGCTATGTGTCTAATCCCATCACTGGTTACCCTCCTCTTTCCTCAATCTACAAGCACCAAGCTGGTCCCCTTGATGTCCCTTGAAAACATAAGGCATTTTGCCACCTTAACTATAGCTTTCTGTCTGCCTGGAAGGCTTTTCTAAAGAAGAGTTGTCACCTGGGCTAAATCCCTCCCTTCTTTC